CGGCGCTTATACGGGCAAAAAAAACTTGCAAGTTTGACCACAAAACGCCCCACTTCCCCAAGCGAGGATTTATGAAGCTAACGCTATGAATGTGACTGAAGCTGCTTTCCTGTACCTCATTCTGTTAGGACAGTAAGCCCTTTCATTTTCGGGTCTTTCCCTATCCGTGTGTGTCGGCGCGGGTTCGGCCCAATGTGGTTCGACTGAGAGCATGACATCTGGTCCTTTCCGCCCGGCCTGACCGGCGCGGCGGACCCGTGCCACTCCTCCCCGAACTCCCGGGGCGCGGATGGGGAGGGGCAGTCCAACCCCTCCCCGCTAACAGATGGATGGACAGGGGAAATGTGATACTTGTCCTATGACAACAAACCGGCGTTCAGCGCTAGGGCCATCTACTGGTCTAGAAACGTATCTCTAGAAACGAAACGTCGGCAAGAGCCTCGCCAGGTGGTGTAAAGGTCGCGTGAAACGCACCCTTAACGAGCTCGTCGTGGCGAGCAGATCTCATCTACTTGTGACATCCAGCGAACTTTTGTGTTCAGTCTGGCGAATTGCAGTAAATGCCCCTCGGTAAATGCCCCTATTATTTCAACCTTGCATCTTCTACCAGATATTCGACGTAGACAGACACATAAACCCCATGGGCAGTTCACTTAACACTGGGCGGGGCAGGCAGTCGAGAGCAGACGCCTGTTCTCCCGGGGGGGGGGGGGGGGGGGCTGCTACTCGGTGACTGTGACTGACGACTGCGACTGTCGTTAGGCTCACTGTCGTTCGGCGGCTGTCGTTCACTGACTGCCTAACTGACGCTTAGCGACTCTCGCTCGCTCGGTCTCCTTTCTGTGTCTTTCTCGCCCGGTCTCCTTTCTATGTCTCTCTCGCCGTCTCCTTTCTGTCTCTCTCGCTCGGTCTCCTTTCTGTGTCTCTCTCGCTCGCCGCGTTGACCTCCATTCCGCACTGGCGAGCCGTGTTTTGATGTAGCTCGCTCCAAGGCCGGCCCGTGTGTGCTCCAAGGGCGCCCGACTTCTCCCGTCTCGGCGGCCACCGGCCTACTCATGAGTCACTTATGCTAATCGGCGGCCGGCTCATCTGGGGAGCGGTCCAGAGAGCCGCCGCTCGCGGGGAGAGCCGGGCAGCGGATTATAACACTCAGCCCGGTCTGGAGGGGTGGGTCCGCTACATGAGACCGTGTGTAGTATAATTGAGCTGCAGTAATTCTTATAATTGAGAGCTGTGGCGGAACGCCGGGCGGGGTTTTCCGTGCCGAGAACCTTAGAGGTTTTAGTCGCCAGTGAAAAATGAGTTTCGCATGCGTTGAGTAGAATTTTGTAGTATTTGACACCTGCGTAAACTGGTGTTGTAGAGGTAATTGAGCCAGTGACCGGGTGGGATTCCTGACCGTGTGACGTCACAGGTATAGCTCGGAGATATGACGTCACATTGTCCACTGGAAGTCGTGACGTCACGGGTGCTTTCTCATTCATTTTCCATTCTATTATGGCGGTGAGGAGAACAACAAAACGATAGCGTGGTGGCTGCGGCGTTACGGCAATTCCGTAATTATGTGTTTGAGAGCAGCTCCATAACTGTGTTTAGGAGAAAGGGCCGGGGCTATCAGAGAATGGATCGGCCAACTATTTTATACGCTACAGCCAGCGAAGGATTTCTTTGGTGGCGCAGTGGGGCGCTACCGCAAGGACGCTTTGTTGCCCCTTAGCTGGACCGTGGACGCTGATTTCACATATTTATTGTCAGCGGGCATTAATTGTTTCACACGAAGACAACTTAAATACAGGTATGTTCCCCTGATGCGATTTAATATTTTTATGCATAATGATTCTGCAAGTATCTTGGTTGCTGAAAAGGCTTACGTAGCAAATCCATGCCTAAATGGTGAGTCCAATTCACAAAGACGATGACGCAAAATATGAACCAGGATGTCTCCCTTCACGATTAAACATTACCATTTAATATTTTTGGGAGCCGATTATCGAAATATCGGGCGATCTGTCCGTTTCAGTCGGTTCTTAAATCGCTCGGATTGTTGCATTATCCAGTCTGTGATCACGCCTAAGTACCCTGTCTCGCCAGGTGCGCAGAAGTAAGCCCCTATATCAGCGGGTTCTTTGGGTCCGAATTACGTGAACTAGCTGACTGCCGTGGCTCAGTTTCTTTGATCGCAGTCCCGGCAAAATTTGCGCAGCGTTCGCTGTCACCGAAACAAAAAGGACGTCATTCTAGCGTAACGGACACAGAATGTGTTGCAGTTTTGTGTGGAGTTCTCCTTTTTCAATTCATATACGTCGTTCATCGTTGAATCTGCAAGCTGTCCCTTCTCCGTTTTCCATTTCGTCCTTACGCTCTAGAATTGCTATCTCCATAATGCAATGGGCGCATTGTGCCGTGTTGTTATATAAGATGAACTGCTCCACTGGGCGTTCCGTTACTTCCCCTGCACTGTTTCCGTGTTGCTGCTGCTGTCTGTAAGGCCAGACTGACCATGGGCCAGCCCCCACCGGAAGCTAGTCGGCCGGTCCTCGCTACTCCCCGCTCCCTCAGAGCCGACTGCCGTGGTGTCTGGGTGTGCCCCACTGAGGTAGGGGGTGGCCCCCCCCCCGCTCTCCAGAGACCCGTGTAAACGTGACCCGGGAACCGGCAGCCGCCGCGGCCCGCCGGCCGCTCATGATCTCCGCATTACTACCAATTACACGGGCCCGGCCAGATTGGGCCGATTGCCGGCGGTTTAGTATCACTCCTGTCATTGGGAGCAAGGTCCACGACACGATCCGAGAGTTTTGTCCGAACTCTGAGTGCACGGAGTGACGTGAGCGAGCTCCGTGGGCCGGCCGGGAGTGGGGCGCGGCCTTGTCGACCTCAGTCATTGAGGCGGGGCTCCGGAACCTGCAACATGTTCTCAGTAAATACCGCAGACTAACGATAACGACTGCCGCTGATGAATGTTGATTTTGATAAGGCTAAGTTATGTCTGTACTTAGGTACAGTTGTCGGTTTTGAATGTTGTAAAGGAAGGGGATAATTTCATTTGATATTTTGCTTTGATATTTTGGTTGAGTTTTGCTTTTTTCTGATTACAAACTTTTACTTATTGTTCCAAATTAATCGTTTGAAGACAGTGGACGGGCATGGGATGCTACCAACCCTGGTCTGTGACTGACTGAAGGGCCGGTGGGGGCCCCCAGGAGGTGCCCTGAGCTCTGACCGACTGAAGGGTCGGTCGGGTCCTATGAGCTCTGAAGCAACATCGCCCGGCCAGTGCCGCGGTCCGTTTCCCGGGAGCCCAGCCGTGCCATGGCCCGGCCGGCGGGGCTCCGTCGCGGTGCCACTCTCCGGTTACATTATTTGTGTCACCGCGGCCGCTGGTCTGTGGTAACCCACTCCGGTGCGCACAGCAGGACCCGCTTCAATCACCCGCCCGGCGCAACGCCACGCATCGCGACGCAGCGCAGCGCGAAACTCCCACCCGGCCGGCGAAGGACGCCGAATTGGCTGCGTTTGCCGGTCCGCGGGTGCCGGCGCCCCTGGCATTGTGCCCTCCGGTGGCGCCCGGTAGCGCTCAGTAGCACCCGACCTTCGTGGTCTCGTCGCCGCGTCTACTGTGCTGCGTCGCTGCTCACCGCCGTACGGCGAAATGCGCCGCAATTGCGGCAATTAGCGGCGCGCCAGCGGTAGGAGCGGCTCCGCGCAGTCTGCTCGAACCCGGCCAAGGTCCCGCGGCGTCACCGAGTGATACACGGACAGTGGGATCCACTGGCGTCCCGATCACGCCCAGTCGCGTCCCGTCCGACCTGTCACGGCTGACCGCCGGGGCCGGGACGGGCGCCTGTCCTCCCGAGCGCCCCGCGTGGCCTTCCCGTGCCCCCACGCATGTGTGACGCGTCCGGCCGGCCCCCGGACTCTGGTCGGTCCGCAGGGCACCCACGTGTGTGCACGTGTCCGCAGGTGTTCACGCACGTGTCTGTCCGTGGTGGTACCTGTGCCCGGCCCTCTGGGGTCGAGGAGTGGTTTTTGCGTCTGATCGGGAACCGTTCAGTAAGGGGCTCTGTCGACCGCGCCATGTCTGAGGGTTGAAACACGACACAGCCTCCTGTTGTTAGACCATCGCCGCGTCGTCTCGGATATCGCTGGAGACGGTATCACTGATCAGTGCTCAATTATCCACCAGTGATACGGACCGAGGGCTGAAACAGAGCTGCTGCTGAAGCCAGAGGGCTGCATCCACCCTCTCCGGCCCCCGACCCTGGCCGTGGTGCCCCGGGGTCCTGCCGCCGGCGCTCCACGACGTGTGAACCGGCCGTCACCGTTCGGACGATCGGACCGACAAACCTGGCGCCGGACCGGTGACTTGATGAAAGTTCCGCCTAACCAGACCCCCGGGCAGCGCGAATTAATCGAAATTGGTTGAGTAATGTGCGGGAAATGAACTGCGCTGTTAGGTAAGTGGTGACCGGAAATGGAGCCACGTGACGCGGGCCTTATTTACCGTAAATGCCCCGTGTGAACTGCTCTATTTTCTTCTGTTTGTTTGACGGCGTTAGGTCACTTTCATTTTCAGCCGGAAACGATGTGACATTGGACGACTGTTTCCCCGCCAGCCGATTAGGGCAGTGCGTCGTTTCTCGGGGCTTAGATCGGCACGATTTCTCGTCTGGGCTGAGAGGGATATGTTTCTGGGGCCGTGAGTATAGCCGCGGGAGGTACGGCGAAATACATTAACACTTTGGAATACTGTTGGTAATATAACGTCACCTGACACTGGGAAACAAACCACCCCCGTGCCGCCCCCGCCCGCGCCCCCGCCGCCGGCAGTGGCGCCCGGCGATTGGCACCGCATTGGCTCACCGGCTGTTGCGTATCTGGAGCAGTTTGACCGCGGTGCCGAGTCCGGTGTCACGACGACTCTGTCAGTCCCTGTCGGCCCCTGTCAGCCGCTGTCAGTATCTCTCAATCGCCGCCAGTCATTAGTAAAGCTGTATGCCGTCATGGCTTGTGGTGAGGCCGCTGCTGCCTTCTGTACCTACCTTGATGTGTGTGGTGGAAATTAGGGAAGCTTTTTTACACCTGATATGGTGATGGCTGCTCGTATATATGCTCTTACTCAGGTTGCCATTAATACACATACAAGTCAGGTCGCCAACATCAAGTCGTGGTCTTTTCCAACTGGCTTGTTAGATCGTTGTTATTGCTAAGAATTGCATGCATGATATGATGTTGAAATAATCGTTTCCAGGAGCTCTCGATTAGTTGTTCCTTGAAGCAAGATAGGCTCTCAATGTAACATAGAAAGTTTATGTCGCATTTACCATACAATAACAAGTCACCTTGCAAAACGCTCGATAGCGGCTTCGAATGGACCGCCTGGCCATTGACAAGCTGTTAGCTCGTGGCACGAACAAGCGTCAGAGGCCCGAAGGGGGCAATTGACATGGCTGGTGCCCGATATGTGATGGGTCCGTCCGATGTTGCGGTTTTATGAATGGTACTGCACACAGTCGGCTCTCTGTGCTGACGGGCTGGGTTTCACATTGATCACAGTAGGATAGGCCAATGGTGGCCAATGCGGAAGCCCTCGATAGCAAAGCATGCCATGTTTGTCATGCACCTACAAGTGATCAGAATGGTCACTTATGCTCTGCTGTTTCACAAAGGTCACCGATCGTTCGCGGCATATAAATGCGATCGTCCATGGTCGATCCCGCTGTCACGATGATTAATCTGATGTGACAATATGCTCTCAGTGCATTTAGGCCCTCTCCTCTGCCCCGACCACCGCCCTCGCCTCTGCGAGGGGTCGCCGCGGACCCCTGAGACACGGACGAGGTCTTTCCGTCCGCGTCTGACCGTCTCGTGTCCGGTGTTTTTTTTTTTTCAGAATGTCTCAGCCACCTTCAGAGTATCGTCCACAAGCAGAAGGCCCACTTGGGCTCGACGGACCCGCCGCAGCCGGCAGCGCACTCCGCCTCCGGTGAGTGACCCGGTGACCTGGTGAGTGACCTGGTGGGGGGGGTGACCTGGGTGACCTGGTGAGTGACCGAGTGACGGCGTTTTCTGCCAGCCACAGGACCACCCATCTCTTTTTATAGGTCCATTTCTTGATTAACACCATCCTTGATTTGTCACAATTTTATCTTCTAATTCTTTTATGTTGACATTGACATGTCTTCTAGTGTCGTAATGCTAAAAAACTGAGGTTCAAAATGCTTGGAATTACGCCTTTGAGACCCCGGACTCGCTTATGTTGCCGAAGTCGGGCATTGTCTGTGGACGCTGGATTACGTGACCAGCTGAAACCCCACGGGGATTTTCACATTTTCTCTTTTGGCTAGTAAAGGCCGAAAGGCCGTGGATTCAAAGTAGTGTGTTCAGAATGAAAGAAACGGGCCGAAATATATACCTATAGGCCGTCTAATGCACCGCTACCATTCGCACTAACTAGCTTCGCCTCCGGGACCCAGTGTCGGCGGCCCGGCCCGAACACTCGACTACCGACCGATGACACAATCTGACGGAAGTCCAGTTGACTTTTGGTGAGATCGGCCGGCGGCGGCTGGTCCTGGAGTGAGCGGGCAGACCCAGCGCCGATGGACGAGTCATGTTCCGCATTCGAAATGACCGTAAAACAGTGCTGACGTCACACGACCACCGATGACCGGTCAAAGACGAGCGATTGTGAGCGCGACCAGGTGGTCGGGGGCTCCTTTGGAACGGGAAGGGGGAGGCTGCGGAAGTGCTCCGTACTCCGTGTGTGATGCAGGGTAGTCAGAGAAGTAGTTCACCGTTTGCTTTTGGAGCTGAGATTTAGTCTGCGATTGAGACGGCGAAAGGGCTCCTGTAAAAAAGTCCCCGTTGAGAGATGCGAGTTGTATCTTGGGAGCTGACTCGATCAAATCGAGCGTCTGGTCGATGATCTCACTCGATCTCGCCGGCCAAATACGGCGGGACATCCTGCAAGCGCAGGATATTGATGTGCGGCCCGAAATTGCATCACGGAGTGGATGTGTCTGCTGTTATTTTACCGGCGAGTGTCGCATATTCGGGAGATGTTGACATATTGCTACCGGCGCAGGGAAGCAGTAGAGTGGATTTCACTTTTTGAGCACGAAATCGTTGTTACGGCTATTGTTTAATCATATATCCGTGAACCCAACTTAATCGTTGGTGTGGACTGTGGAGTTCGCGAGCCGAGCGTCGTGAAATCAGTTAAATATGCTTGTGCATTTTATGCTAGAGTGGAAGTTCTTTCGGACACTGGTGTTGCTACCTAAAATAGACAATTCCAGTAACAAGCTTCAGGTTATCAGGGCGGCGTCCCCCCCCCGCCATTCCAGAGTTTTCATCGTCGCATTACAGTCCCCCACCCGTCTTTTATCTCTTCATACCGTGCTACCGACTTGTACTATACTGAAGTCTGCGAGGTGTGGAGTTACCTGCTTGTGCCGTTCTGCAGTCTCCTCATACCGACTTCTGTTTCATACCGAGCTGTGGCTTACTTTTAAACTGTTCGAAGTCTCTTGCGTGTGGTGCTACCTGCTTATGCCGTACCGCAGTCTCCCTGCTTGCTGTGTTTCTGGCCTGTGCTTTATTGAAGTCTCCCGGATATGGTGTTATCTGTTTATGCCGTACTGCAGTCCCAATACCCATTGAGATTCTGGCCTGTGATCATTGAAGTCCCCAGCGGTTGGCTTTACTTTTTCTGCTCCGCTGTGTTACCCCGTTCCCTCCCGTGCCCCCAGGCATGGGCTCGTCGGCCGAGCTGGTAGTTCTCGTTGGTATCACCAGTTACCCTGTTCCCCGTGTTACCCTGATCCATTATGTGTCCCCAGGTATGGGCTCGTCGGCGGAGCTGACCGGGCCGGGTCGGCACACCGGAGGAATGCTCATCAGACACCAAGGTAATCCCGCCGCCTAATTGCCGCTCCCCGAACACCCATCGGGGGGTTTTTACGGCATGGATCATAGCAGGCTGGGTGTGCTATTAGGGAATTAATGGACGACATGTATCGGGGATAGTTGCAGCATTTCTGAAAGCCGTCACAAACACCCTAACCTCGGAAGTGAAGGGTAATTAGTGTTTGTCCACAATTAGCCCCTTCCCCGTCCATTTCTGTGTGGCCTATCCAGCGGTAATGTTTCCGTCACATCGGGGATGTGAGTTCGAATCTCTCCAGCGTCAGGAGTTTTCTTACCACTGCAGCCAGGGTGACGCAGTATGCGGCGATATCAGATTTAGCGTCACCGGGTGATTTCGCTCGTGCGAGGTGTGTTTTGACTTCCAAGAATGTGGAGATGTATGGGTATGTCTGCAACGTTTGGCGTTGAGTGGCTCACTCGTGCTGTGCTGGTGACATAAAAGTGGGTGGTGATTGCAAGTAATGGCTCTCAGATTTCGCATTGGACAGCTTTCCTTAGCTCAAGGGCTTCTAACTAATCAATAGGGAGTTATTTACAGCTTTCAATAACCGTTTTACGTCCTTCCTGAGCACTATGTGTTCCCTTTCCCTTTTCTGCCCGTTGGTTGTGATGTACCGCCTCACTTCCCGATTCGAGCTGCCATCACGTCTGTCTGGCGGCATTCTGTGTTGAAACTCTGGGCGGAATATCCTGGTTAGAGGGGCGCGTTTCCGCATAGCGATGGCGCGGCCGGGCGCTGGCCATTAGGATTCACACCGGGGGTGACAGCGATCGCCATCTCGCTCCGCCGGCGTCCTCTCCAAATTCACGCTCGTTTCTGCAAACTGGCCGGGCGCGGCGAATCGCCGCCGAACTCTCGCGGAAGCCACTGACGGGTACACGCCATTCACCGCGGGTCTGCTGCTCAGAAATGCACGCCCCCGCGGCTGGGTCGCCCGCCACCCCCGGTCCTGTGGCAGCACACGGTACGGTTTGGTGCTGTTTCGGCACCCGGCTACCGGTGCCCCGGTGCTGCAATGTGCCGCTGTGGAGCCGCCCTCCGGTATCGGACGGCGGTGGGTGATTACTGACGGACTGACGCTATCGGCCGGCCCACTGTCACCGCGGCGCCGTATACGTCTTACTGGCGAAATGGACCAGCGGCGGCGGCAGGGCGGCAAGGCAATGTGTGATGACTGCAATTTAGTATTAATTTTCTTATATCTGGAACTGCATCGTCAGAACGGAGTAACTTGTAACGGTTCAGGCGAGAGGGGGAGGGGGGGGGCGATACAGCGGTATGGATTTGGATTTGCAGGTGCAAGAAAAGATAGCAGTCTCATCAGTGGTGTATCTAGAAGAGCAGATGACAACTGACGGATAAACGTGACAGTTGAGTGACAAATGTGGCCATGAAATTAGGTGATGGACCTGAGCCTATCCCCCACCGAGCTCGGCTCACACCGCGCGGGCCCATCGTTCGCCGTCCCCCGGGTAGCTGATTTGTCGGCCACCGGGTCACACAGCGCCGCTCTACATACCGCCCCGGCCGTCCCCGAACTGTCCGCTGTACATCAGTCACCCGGTGTCCCGGGACCGGCACCCCGGCCCGACTTTATCGTCTGTCTGACGGCGGCAGCCACAGAGGGTCACCCAAGCGCGACCGCGTGTGTTTGTGATGGTGCTGAATACTTCATCCCGGCCGCGTCGGATGGCGGCCTTGGCGCGTCTCAAGTCTGTAGCGATACCGGGAATTCCAGCCGAGTTTGAGGAATTGGTGCTACACCCAGGAGCGCCGACTACTGTGTCTCGGAGAGGATGTCGTAATGTTTAGGCGTGTGGCGGGCCGGGGGTGCTCCGAGTGGCAGAATGACAGCGGCGTGGATCACTCTTAACAGACAAATACTGGGTAGCTGGGTAGGGGACGTTGGGTATTGCTGATTTATGAAACGCAGTGATATCCGATATGCGATGTCTGTTTTGACCTCCCGGGTTGCGGGGTACCGTCTTATCATTTACTTGGGAAATCATCGCTGAAGGTCGTGTTGTGCTACGACATGCTGCAAATAACAGTCAGGTATTTGTTTTTATGCTTGGGCACCACTATTTCACATATCCATATGTCATCTGGTCCAGATTCCGAGCTGTGATTAGCGTTTGGTCGGCTCCCTCTCGAGTCCCGGCAGAGCACCCCGTTCTCAGTATATGATCAGACACCCTCCTGGAGTAGCCTCAGTGTGTGACCGGACTCTCTCCCTGCAGAGTACGAGGCGGGCCCGGTGCGGCTCGACTCGCACCGGCCGCCGCTGGCCGGCACCCTCAGCTCGGCGCGGTCCGCCGCCCACCTCCGCCGCTCGGCGCCCGTGCTCCTGCCGGCCGACTCGCCGCCGCGACGGAAGGTGGCGCGCCAGTCGCGCACGGTCGCTGTAGGTGGCGCCACCGCGCCCGTCACGCCGAAACGGCCAGCAGCGAGCAGACGCGCGGAGGAGTCTCGAAAGTCGCGGAATGAGAAACGAATCGTTATCGCCGGCAAACGAGTCAGAAAGGTTGCCCCAAAAAGACGAGGTAAGCATCAACTATCAACCACACAGTTTTTGCTGGGAGGCCCTCGTAGACCACTCATAAAGCATTGAAGGTGAATGGTGAATATTTAGTTCCCGTGTAAACTGTGTGGTATTCACTATGCGTTGTCCCTAGGTAAAACAACTGGGATTCTCTGAGATTCATCTGAGTTTTCGTCAAGCCATCACACCATTTCGCTCGTTTCAGACTTTTTCAACACAGTGGGCACGCCGTCGGCGTACCGTCCGCGCTCCCCGCTAACGCACGGTCCGCCGCTGGCGTCGACCGGCCGCCGCGTGCTCCATTCTCCTGAACAGCGTGCCTACGGCAGCTGGCTGTCGGAGCCGGCGGCCGGCGCGGACCGGACACCGGCGGGGGACAGTGGGAGCAGGGCGGCGGACGGGGCGCGCGGCGCAGAGGAGAGCCCGGCGGGGCGGAGTGTGAGGCAGACGGACCGGGAGAGAACCCCTGTGAGACCCACACACCGGGAGAGAACCTCTGTGAGGCCCACAGACCGGGACAGGACTCAGAGGAGACAGGAGAACGGTCTGGGCGCGGCCGCGTCTGCCCCGGCCCTGGTGTGGCCGGCCGGGGCGCGGGGCACACCGCCGGCTGACCCGGCCCCGCCTACCGACCACCGGCGGAGGGTGGTGGTGGTAGAGCCGCCCACCCAGTACCCCCGAGACACCTGGTCCAGGATCTTCCCCGGAATCGACGCCGAGGAGAGGACAACCTCGCCGCGGGGGCCGCAGGCGGCGGCGGCGCAGGGCGAGCCGGGAAAATCACCGGTACAGACCGAGCCCTCTGCGGCGGCAGCGAACGGCGCGGAAACTAAGGTGAATGGAGCAGAGGCTGAGAGTAAGGTTCCTACAGCAGAAGTTGCGGGCAAGGAAGCTCAGGAAGGAAAGCCGTCAAAGACGGATAAGGGAGGTGATAAGGAGGGTGCTGGCAAGACGCCGAAACCCAATGCCACCGGCGCGCGGAAGAAGACCAAGCAGACCAAGCCCAAGAGCGGGTCGGCGGCTGACCAGCGCGGTAAGCCCACCGCGCTGTCGAACGGCTGCGGCTCTCTGACCTGGCGTGGTGCGCGGCCGGAGGGGAGCGGTCCGGCGGCTGGCCGCGCCGCCTCCCGCAGCCCGACTAAGGCGTGCCCGGGCCGCGCCCGGTCCGGGGTCAGACAGTCGGCCAGTCGGAGCCCGGGTAGAGCGGACACCGCGCGCGCCCGCTCGGCCGCCGGCAGACCCGGCGCCGCCGCCGCGCCGGCACCGGAGGCGGCGGACGGGGCGCCCAAACCGGCCCGAAAGGCCGGCCCCAAGCCGCTGGTGGCGCTGCGCCGGCGCCTGGCGCAGACGGAGCCGCCCCGCGAGGAGCGCCGGCCGCGCACGCGCAGCTACGACCGCGCCCAGGTGCGCCGCTTCATGGCGGAGCGTCGGGCCGCGCTGCGCCGCAGCCGCGAGCAGCAGGAGGAGGAGCGGAACCAGCAGCGCCAGGCGCGCCGCCAGCAGCTGGAGAAGCTGAGCGCCGTCTGCCAGCAGCAGATCAAGGGGGCGCGCAGACGCGGCCCGCAGGGCGGACGGACCGACCGAGACTGGCAGGTGAGACGACCAAAACACGAGAACTGGGAACGGACGAGGGGTGTGGGGATTTCTTCTAATTCCTGTTTAAGTTCATTGGGAATTTAATGCTTAGCTCTACCCGTGTTGTTCGTACTCATAATTGGTCAACCGTTCCGTTTGAAGCTGTTCGTTACTAGCTGAACTATCGCAGTCATAGCCGCGGCGCCAGCTCTCCTGTATCCACACGGTGAATGTTTGCTCCATTTGTCCGTCAGCCGCTGGAGCTGGACGATGACGAGGAGGACGAGCCCGACCAGCAGACCACCGTGCTGCGGCGCGCCTCGGCCGGCGTGGCGCTGGACATCTCGCTGACCGGGCGGCGGTCCCGGCCGGCGGCGCGCCGCTCGGCGGGCCAGGCCGGCCGCCGTCGGGCGCACTCACCCCCCGCCGCTGCCGTCCCGCCGCCCGCCGCTGGGCCCGGCGCGGGCAGTCTGAGCACCCCCAGCCTGGTGTCAGACGCGGCCGCCGAGCTGGGCCAGTTCGCCGGCCACGAGGCGTTCCGTTTCGGCGGCTCACGGGGCCGCCGAGCGCTGCTGCAGAGACTGGCCGACGAGCTGGGGCCGCTGGTTAGACAGGAGCAGAGCCAGAGTCTGACGGCGCTCAATGGTAGCGGAGCGAGGCAGGGAGAGGACGAGAGAGACAGTGAGAGAGACGCCGAGAGAGACATACAAAGAGACATGGAAAGAGACGCCGAGAGGGACCCGGAGCGGGGGCAGTCGACCCCGACCCGGAGCCGGAGCCGGAGCGGGGAGCGGGGCGAGTCGCCGACAGACACAGAGCTGGACCGGCTGCTCTGGCGCCGACTGAGACCCGAGTCGGCCGAGCGGCACATCAGGGAGCGGGTCGAGCTGGAGGTCAGCCAGATGAGAGACGAGCTCACCAGGCAGCTCGGTGAGTGTGGGAACCGCGCGCCGTCCCCGGGATCGGGCATAGAGCGGGGACTGTGGTCAGGGAGGGGCTGGAAGGGATGCTAAATAATCGGGATACTCTGGGTTGTTTTGTCCTCAATCGATTGGTGTGTGGTCTGCATTTCAGTTCTGCATTTTCGCAATTTTATTAAATTTTTATATTAGGCTTTATTGTGGATGAGCAACATTTTGCAATGCGGTTTTTGTTACTGATCAAATTGGCCCCGGCTCTTATGTTGAATCTCTGCTGCATCTGAACTCGTCAGTTTCTTCGATTTCTCGGTGAATCACGTCGCGTGCGATAACTCTCCTCTCATGTCTGCCCCGTTCTAGGTGACGGCAGCGCGGAGTCGTCCCCGGTCCCTCCTCGGCCGCTGGCGGACGGCCGCCTTCAGCCGGCTCCCGGCGCGGCGCCTGTACCGGCCGGGCCGGGTGTCAGCTCTCCCACCGCTATCACTGCCGTCACCCCCGCTACCGCTCCCGCTGTCCTCTCCAGCACTGCGGGTCCGCCGCCCAGCCAGACGTCTGGCGTTGCAGCGGACGGCGCCAGTGGCGGAGACGCGGTCCGCGCCGCCGCCCCGGCCGGGGAGCAGCCCGGCGCCGCGGCGCAGCCCGCCCCTCCCCCGCCGGCCGACTGGCGCCGGAGGGCGTTCTCTGTGATGCAGACCGCTCTGAAGGAGTACCTGGAGCACGCGGGCCGGCCGGGCGCGCTGGGCGGTACCGGGGACTCGGCGAATGTGGAGGTGCGCCGGGTCAGCCAGCGGGAGCAGCCCGGGCAGACAGAGCTGCAGGCGGCGTTCACACAGGTGAGATGGGGGATGGAGAGAAGGAGGGTCCGCCTCTAAGCTGACAAGCGGGAGGGGCAGGGGAGGAGAGATGATATGAGCTACTGGGCAGGAAAAGCAGGGCTCAGTGCGGCCCCTTCCCAAATATTAATCTGCATAGGGTGGTACTTCAGTTACCTTTCTTATTGACCGAGGCATTGTTTTGTCATAAATATTGAACGCATTTTCACATTTTCGCTGTTGAGTTAGTTCAGTTGAGTTTGAATTCTCCTTCCTACTCTCAGCGCACCTAACAGCGCTGTCTGCCGTTACAGACCGACGCGCCGCCGTCTCCGCGGCCGCCGGCGCCACTCCGCCTGCCCGACTGGTCGGCGCCGCTGCTGCCGCCGCCGCCGCCCGACACAGACAGTTTCGTGTCGGCTCTGAGCAGGAAGCTGCGCCTGCCGCCGCCGCCAGCCCTGCTGCAGCTGGCAGCAGCGGCCGGCGGTCCGCGACCCCCAGCCCCAGCCGAGGACAAGGGAGTTCAGGTGTCCGAGTCACTCGCCGAACGGTCGAAAACGCGGCGCAAAGGCGGGTCCGCTGCCGCCGCTGGCGGAGCGAGACAGACACCTCCGGCGGCTGAGGACGGTAAATCCAGAGACCCGGGGAGGGGGGCGGACGCGACAACTGCCGGGACCGACCAGTGGGGGTACGGTCTGGATTTTACCACCCTCTCGTCCGGCTCGGTGACGACGAGTGAGGAAGCCCGCGGCTCCGCAGACGCCGCCGAGTCGCAGCGCAGCGGCCCGGAGCCGGGCGACTCCTCCATCACATCGCTACACATCCCCTCCGAGGCCTTCATGCTGCCCAGCTTCAAACGGCTCCGAGACAAGTGCGAGCGCCGGCCGCCGGTGTCGACCTCGGAGGGCTCCCTGGAGACCACGGCAGCGCCGCGGAGCGGTCCGCCCTCCGCCGGCCGGTCCCCGCGCAGCCCGACCACCTCGGACGGCTCGCCGCCGGCCACGGTTCGCTCGGCCGCTGCCGACCTCCGGCTGCGACTGCCCGAGTCGTCCGCGACCTCCTCCGCCCGCGGGGAGTCCGGAGACGAGAGGGAGACGGGGGAGGACTCGCGGCTCGTCTCCCTGCCGGCTGAGACGGAGACTGAGACAGAGACGGAGACGGAGACAGAGTCCACTGAGAGAGAGACAGAGACCCGCGCGACCGGCGCCGAGGCCGACGGTGCCGCGGTGACGGGCACAGAGAGTCGGACCGATCGCACCACCGCCAGCTCTGAGCCGGACAGACAGTCGGCGACCGCTCCGAGCTCCGAGTCAGACGCTGCGTCTGCCACCGCTCCGAGCTCTGAGCGACCGGCGCGGCCGCGCTCGACGGGAGACTCGTGGGTGTCGTGCCGCTCCCGTCCGCCGGCCCGTCTGACGGCCGCCGCGCTGCAGACGGAGCTCAGCTCCGAGCTGCACTACCTGCAGAGCGTCGACGAGTCGCTGCTGGCGCTCACCGTGGCGGAGCGACTGAGCACGGAGGCGCGGCTGAGAAGACGCGCCACAGGACTGCAGACCATAGTGCAGGTGAGGGCGGTCGGTGGATGAACGGAGGGGAGGGAGAGGGAGAGAGAGAGAGTCATGAGGGGAGAGAAGAGGAATGGTCATGGGATTGGGTACCGGGATATTTGACGATCAGCTGAGATTGTGTGAGACCTGGTGAAAGCAGAGGACCACTCCTCAAGCTACCTGCTGTCAGTCTCAGTGCTGCGCCGCCACTTGGACTGGCCATTGTGTGAAATGGCCCGCTGGTGGTCCCCACAGGACACAGTACACACCTTTCTTTGTGTGCTTCCTGTCTCTGATTAACGCCTGTGCGCCTCATGGCTACGAATCCTGCACAATAACTAACTTCCCTGACTAGCACAAAGGTGTGTGTCATAATCCTGCACAGGGAAGCAGTGCGGGAGCCGCGGACCGCACGGCCGAACAGCGCAGGGCTGTTCACAGTTTGTTTTTGTTTTGTTGGGTTAGGCCCTCTCGGACCATTTCAGAGCCGGGAGGATGATAGGATATAGGGGGAGACATTGGTCTGGGCAGGCACCCTAAAGAGTCACCAGGGCTGAGCCCGTCCAGAGGACAGGCCATCCAGCCCCAAGGTACTGCACCCGGCTACGGGGTGCGCTCCCTCGGGAGCAGCGGTGCCGCTCCAAGGGAGCAGCCCGCATGAGATAAAGTTGCCTGTCCAGCCCGGAAGGGGGTTGCGGCGTGGAGGAGAAGGATTTCAGTATCCTGAGGATAGAAGCACGGAACGGTGAGTTCACAGCTTTACACTGATACAATGACTCTGACTATAATACTGACTCACTTGCGATCTACAAATTACCGTAATGTGTAAGGGTAGCGGAACATCGCTTTCGCCCGGATCTAGGCAATGTTACCGTCTGATTACTATCGTACGAGTCTCATCCTCGTTGCGGGAAGCTGATGGAATTACTCAGAGGCATAACATGACCTCTCTCGCATATAAATCGGAGCACTGGTACTCCCGTCACCGTCCATGCCAGGCGTACTCTCGCCCTCAGCCGGATGTGCACAGTCGGGCACTACTGGCGTTACGTCAGGATGACTTCCGACTGCTGATCTGTGCGGACGACGTCGAGCTCTGTCGCTATGGCATCGCACACCACCCGCTTGCCGAACCAGCCACTTCTTTTGCACTCTGGTGATCGCGCCGGCTGAACGAGAAATTGATTGAACGAGGCTGTCGCACGGTGGCAAGCGATAAGGCTCAGGAAAGTCCTATGTGTGGTCCCAGGTGACCGTCGAGAGATCGCCGCCTCGCAACTCCACCGGGCTGGGTTAGGTCGTTCTCATCACTTGGTGACTGGTTCTATCAGGGCGGAGGAGTGGGTTGTTGGAAAGCTCAGCCTGCCCTGGTATGTACCAGGGACAGAGTGCGGCTCTGCAGTGACGGTCGTCGCAGCACCCCCGCCAGCCGGGACGGCGCCAGCCCGACTCTGTGGCGCCATTGAGTATAGCCGATCCTGGGCGGCTCGGGGCGGGTGGACGTCCCCCGCGGCCGCCCTGTCACCGTTAGCGATGGCCGGCGGTAGCCGTTGGCCTATTAGCTGTCGATACCATCCGACCGGCCAGGCCTGAGCTGTGCGGGATATGGTTGTTGTTGTTGTTGTTGATTCCCCTCGGCGGCAGGATCACTGCCGCGAAGCCTCTCGGCTTTGAAATCGTCTGGTCGCGGCCGCCAGGGCCGCGACGACGTCCGCGCTCCGAATCTCCTCGTGTGACGGGTGAATGGTGCCCAGCAGGCGGAACCTCAGGTTCATCAGGGCAGGGCATCGCAGCAGAACATGTCCGGGCGTGTCTGCCTCCTCCCGACACACCGTACACCGTCCCGCCCGGCATCCATGGTCATTACAGCCAGGCCAGCCAGGCCTGAGCCGGCCAGGCCTGAGCTGTGCGGGATATGGCTCGGTGAGTGGTCCGAGCTTCCATCGGGACTTGGGGTTTGGTAGAGAGAGCACGCTTCCTTAGTGATCAGTGACCTCACCATTCCATCAGGGCGAGCCGACAGGTGTTATGCGGCTGTGACCCAGGGCGCCACTGCCATTCACCCCGATGATGAACTCGGACGTTCTTCGTACCTACTTCGCACCACGTTACGCACATTGATCCCACGAGACTGACTGTGCTCGCGCTCTCCCACACCGGCGCTCCCTCGGAGCACTTCTCGAGCGCAGCGCTGTGGTGTCAGTCACCTCGCTGACGCTGCACCACTGCGACCGTCGCTGCGCCATCTCCGACCAGATGGTCGGCTGTTCGACCCCCGACTGGCCACAGCTGTGTGCCATAAACTGGCGCTACGGCCGGCTGGGTTATGGGCGGCACAGTGAGGTCGGTCACCTCAGGCTACTGGACAGTTTTGTACAAACAGAACCCTCTTACACACCATTTTTGTGATGACACTGGCGGTTTTGTTTTCAGCTCTTAGTTACCGTCAGACCGTATCTTTCAGTCTCGTGCACGTTCATATTTCGGCAGAATCAAAAGGAGGAGCACGCCAAAGCGCTCAACGAAGCGGAGGAGAAGAGGAAGAAGCGGGAGGAGGAGGAGGATAAGCGCTGGCAGGAGAAGGTGAGGAAGCCAATGATCTCATCTGTCACAATTACAGTCAGTTTGCCTTCGCAACATGGTCATGTAATGTTATGCCGGCCACTTTTTCAGGGACTGGAATGTGTATGCTGACAATTTTTTTCTTTTGTTTCGATTACTCTCCTCTCCCACCATTTTCGCCTTTCACGTCGGTGTCTTTGCCGCAGCGTGACGAGTACGCGGCGTCCACCCAGCGGGTGATAGAGGCTCAGGCCAGCGCTGCCCGGCTGAGCGCTGAGGCCGCACGCCATCTGGCGCAGGCCAGTACAGCAGCGCCACCTATACCGACGATAATGGCGCCGTCTGCGGCAGACGCTGGAGTTGTGGCCGCCAGTGCCGTCGCAGCGGTGCAGGAGGCGATGAAACAGGCAAGTGTGCGTGCTAAGAGATGTCAGAGGGATGTTACAGACAACTGTTTTTAGTGGTAACTAAGAGTTCAGAATGCTGTGCTACAGTGAAGAACGTTTAGTTGTTCCTGTATGGGATGAGAGATTTCCCCTAATGTCATGATTTCCCCTAAGGTAGCATCTTGTGTCACCAGAAAGGAGTTAAGGATTTCGTTTCACCAATGATGTGCAGCGGTTGACTGAAGTCCGATTCTATGGTTTCCGGATGATCAAGGGGGTTGCGAGGAACTTTCATGATAAGTAGGACACTCGAACCGCCCAACGCCAACCGGTCCTGTGGCGCAATGGATAACGCGTCTGACTACGGATCAGAAGATTCCAGGTTCGAATCCTGGCAGGATCGAAACTTTTCCATTTTCACAGTCTTGCTGCCCCACTCAGTTACATTCACCGAAGTTTCGTGTGACAGACGCCTTTGACAGGCGCGACGTTCGTCCGTTGGAGACGCGGGATCTTATATGCATGAATATATGTCTATATGCTCGACATTCACTTTTCACTGATGATGTCCCCGTTGCCTGTTTCAGCTGAGGCGTCCTCGGCCGGCGCCGAAGCGGCCCCCATCTCCTCCAGTATCGTCATCGGCTGGCTCCGCTCAGCCCTCAGCGACCACCTCCTCTCAGCCGTCAGCAGCCACCTCCGCCCAGAGCTCAGCGACTAGCTCTGCTCAACACTCAGCGGCTAGCTCCGCGCGGAACTCCGCGGCTAGTTCCGCTCAGAGCTCAGCAGCCAGCTCCGCGCGGAACTCGGCGGCCAGCTCGGCGCGGACAGCGTCCGGAGCCAGCTCTCAGCCCGCCACCGGCCGCAGTGAGGCTGCCCACTCCGTCTCCACCGAGGAACCCGATTCCAGCGCGGCCACTGAACCCAGCACGGCAGTCGACTCCAGCGTGGCGACTGAGGGCAGTACAGTAGCGGACACCAGCGCGGCGACTGGGCCCAGTACAGCAGCGGACACCAGCGCCGGGGCGGAGCGGGGTGCTCCCACGGAAACTAGTATCTCCACAGAGGAGAGCGGGACGACCGAGACGAGCGCCGCCTCCGCGGCCAACACGGTGACGGAGAACAGCGGGGCTGGCCGCCGGTCCTCCTCCTCAGCCGCGTCCTCCGGGAGGACGGGGGCGGAGGACTCGGCACGATCGGCCGCCTCGGGCGGGGGCGGGGGCGGCGCGGCGGCCGAGGGCGGCGCCAGGCGGCCGCCCAGGACAACGGCCAGGCAGAAGGCGGCCAAAGGTGAGGGGATGACTAGGCCCACTCATAGCGATGGCATGGGCATTGGGCACTAGTGTTATATTTTACATAATGCCGTAATCAGTACCAACTGCAAATTACGTGCTGCGTGGTTATTCGTCGGGTTACAAATTTAGGATCTACACACGGGCTACAATTTGTAATGAACATTTACGAATGCTCTCAACCCATATGTCCAACGATCACTGTAACCCGAGTCACAGTTTGACCCTGTATCCCCCCTTTCAGCCAGTCTGTCCGAATCTCGTCTGCTGGCCAGCGACTCGACCGCCTCGCTGCGGGCGTCACTGCGCTCCTCCAAGAGTCTGAGCAGCCTGGCGCGCTCCGTTCTGCCCGACGCCACACAGTTCACACTGGATATCGTGAGTTTGACGAGAAATTGAGGGTTGACGTCGGTCGCAATGTGTTATTTAGTAGAGACTAGAGCCTGTGTCCTGTGTCCTGTGTCAGCCTCCTCGTGTCATGAGATACAATATTGTAGGTACTCACCAGTCAGGAACTGCTGTCCATGTCCCGCCATGGGCCGCACGCCTGCCTCCGATGTATCACCACCGCGACTGATACTCGCACGAACACACAGACCGCACTGATGCTAACACCACATGAGCAGTGAGCACAGTTCCAACTCAGTGGAGGACGCACACCCTCCCTTCCTGCTCTGTCACCACCGACTGTCGAGACCGTCCTCTGCGTGCCGTCGGCCGGTGGGCACCGCGCTGTCTCCCCTCCCCTCGCGAATACGACACCGCCCGCTCAGACTCCCAATACGACACCGCCGCGCCGAGCGCCGGCCCGTACTCCAATGATACACCACCGGCCAACTGTCCAATAAGAATACGACACCGCTGCGCGTCGGCTCGCGAATACGACCCTGTCGCCCGCCCCTCCGCCAGCCCGCCCGGCCACACAAGCCGTCGTAAACTGACCCTTGTTACCGCGGCACGCACAGTCGGTCGGCAAGCGCGGTCGAAGACTGGGCGTATGCGCCCGCCACTGGCTGCCGATAACTCGTTATGTCACTGGATTGGTGGAATCGGTGGAAGACTTACAGATAATGTGGCCTATGATCCGGCACTATGTGACCTGTTGTGACCCTGATCTGACCTTGTTCTGACCCCGCTGTGACCTCTGACCCCTATGTGACCCCTCTCTGACCCCGCTGTGACCCTGTAGATGCGCCAGCAACTGCAGGAGGAGGAGCGTCACTCCCACCACCGGATGACGCTGCTCCGAGTCCAGGAGAAACAGCTGGTCGACTCCACCACGGCCCAGATCAAACGCCTAGAGATGGAGAAAAGGTGCCGTAACAACCGCGACGACCCTTTCTCAGTTTTCACTTTTCTTTTGTTGATTTATTATTACTTGCCCGTCATGATCCGGAAAATTTGAAATAATGTGAAAAAAATGTTATAATTTTCAGATTTTTTTTTTCAAATGGCGTTATTTCTCCCATCTCCTCTTTCATTGCTTATTTTTTTACGCGGCAACGGCTGCTTTGCTCAGAATCCCTGATATACCAGTGTCGTTGTTGCAGGAAATGCAAAGAGGAAGGTCAGGATGAGAAGGTGTCGGCCATCCGCAAGAAGCAAAGAGCACTCATTATGAAGCTGAATCAGAGGAAGGCCGAAATCGAATGGTGAGCAATTGAGAATGTGTACGAATACGTCTACTAGTATTTTCAGTCTTTTATCTCGATTTTCGTCGTTGACTATTATATCATGGTTCTCGTTCACCGACGCACGGCGCGCGTGCTTCAGCTTTTGAGTGCTGATTATTTTCAGTTAAGAATTTTTTGGGGGGGGGGAGTAATCACACGACACGATGTCAAAATGTGAGTGGGAATGACAACGCGTCAGAGTTAGCGCTAAGAAAACAGAAAAGGTCAGGTCCCGCCGAGATTTGAACTCGGATCGCAGGATTCAGAGTCCTGAGTGCTAACCGTTACACCACGGGGCCGTTGGATAAGGAGGCTTGAGAAGGTCTTTGGACTGTTGTTCAGCATTTCTACGCTTCAGCGAATGGGTGTTGATTCTGTAATCTCTTTGCCAGGCTGAAGGAGGGCGAGCAGCTGGCTGCCAAGGACCGCCAGCTGATCGCCTCCCAGCAGGAGCAGCTGGCGCGCGCGCAGCTGACGGGCCGGGACCGGGGCGGCGGTACAGAACGGCCCACCCAGCCGCAGCAGGTACCGCATAGCACTTCACTCCTTCCAGTAATTGTTCAACAGAACTCTGGAGTTCATTGTTAATCAGTTGATAATTTTAGCGTCACGTTTGACTAAAGTGTCATCTGTTGGGATGACTCGGCAACACTTTGTTGCGCGCTTTTTGTCGTACTCTTCATATGTGATGTGAGGTACTGAACCCCGGTGCGCCCAGCCCGCCACCAAATGACCCCCATTCCTTCCCCGGTCTCTCTCCCTCAGCCATCTGCTACGGGTGGTGCCGCCGCGCTGTCCGCCCGACCCCGCTCCGGCCGTCCCGGCTCCCCTCCTCCTCTGGAGTCGTCCGTGACAGCCAGCGAGGGCCGGCAGAGTCTCAGTGAGCCCGAACAGGGCGGCTCCCCCGCGCCGGCTGGCGTGCTGGAACAGAGACTGCTGCGGGCGCTGCTGAGACTCGAGGGCAGTCGACAGTGAGTCAGGGGGACAACCTGGGGTGCTGATGAGGAGGAGAGCACGGTACCTTGACAGTGACAGACAGTGAGTCTGGGAGACGGCCTGGGGTAAGGGAAGAGGGATTACTGTTCTGAGTTGGCCAGCGGTTGCTGTGAGTGTGCCTTCTGTTGTGGTCGGTTGTCGTTCTCGAGTCTTTAGCTCCTCAGTTACCGATACAGACGAATCACCTCCCTATACCGTCCGTCAGTGATCTGACCGTCTATCTGACCCCCCCCCCCCCTCCGCCCCCCCCGCAGTCAGCTGACGGAGCGCGAGCGTCAGCTGCTGGAGCGGCGCCGCGCCGTGGAGGAGGTGCTGCGGCGACAGGCGGCGCTCGAACATGAGGAGCGGGCCGTGCGCAGTCTGGAGCGGCGCGCACTGCGCCGGGGCGTGCCCGGAGACGGTCAGTGGGTGTCCCAGCAGCGGGGGAGATGGTACTAGGGCTGTGGGAGTAGACCTGTCCGGAGAGCTGGCTGTTGGGAAAGAGTCTTGATGTTTGAAAAGGACGACTCATGGGTAGACCTGTATGTCGAAGCGTACTTCTTGTATTGGTCAACGTGTTTCCTACAATTGCGTAATATCTCTCCGACCCAGTGTCCCAAAATGTGTCGATTTGGGTGGGAAACTACATCCAAATAAAAATCATTTTTTACTCTCATCTCTAATTTTTAAGAACAATTTTCCACTCCCAATTTTACCGACAAAAAACATTTGCTTGGATGGTTTTTTACATCTTATAGGTATTTTACCACACTTGTACCTAAATTTATGCCACTGGTCCCTTTTCACTCTTTTTGGGCCTTATCTGACTGGCAATTTTCCACTCTTTCCCCATTTTTGGAGAGGAATTTCCCCTCTGACACCCAAGCCCAAACACAATTTTGGGACACTGCTCCGACCTGGACACTGAGCTATAATAACCTCTGTGTGGGTGGGTAACAAAGCCACTTTAACCTGTCCGTGTCCATCAGGTGCCGCCTCTGTCCCGGCGGACCGGCCGTCGGCGGGGACCGGCGCCGACACCTCCCAGTCCCAGGAGGAGGGCGGTCGGTCGGCCGCCCGCACCGCCACCGCCACCGCCTCTCAGAGCCAGGTGAGTAGCACAGGGACTCGACAGGGGTACACACTTGGCCGTCGTGGTGATATCTAAATTAGCGCTTTGAGTAAATCCGGCGGCTTTTCTGTCAGTCTACCTACGTTGTCCGAATGTAAATTGGTTGGGTGTCACCATCAGTGTCACACGTTGTAACAAAACAGCGCAGATGCTGAGTTATTCGTGCCTTTATTGTTTTAACCCCTCTCTGAGTCCCCCCCCCCCCCCAATCTTTCAGCGGTCTGGCGGTAGTGGCCGGAGGACTAGGAACACCACTGCCGACACCACAGCGGACACTACTAATGACACTACAGCGGACACCACAGCGGACACCACGGCGGACACCACTGCGGAGCGCGTCTCGGAGGCCTCGGAGGAGCTGCCGGACCGGTCCAGCGACATGTCCGACTCGGCCGTGCCCACCGCGTGAGTTACATCGCGGGCAGGCCGCTGAACGGTAACCGGAGGAGGGAGCGGTGACCGGAGGAGGGAGCGGTGGGGGCCAGTTCCATTCCAGTTCTGTAGCCCTATTGAAAACCCGTGGATAAGCCCCAAATCAACAAACAAGAACATGGTAATCTGAAGGAGTTCCAAACGGATAATGTATGGTTTATTTGAGAGATCGGTGCTGCCGCATGTTGATTGTTGACTTCTTTCCTTCTCACCTGTCGACAGGAGTTCCATCCAGGAGGCGACCTCGAGGTCGACCCGGGAGGTCACTACCGTGTCGACACGGGAGGTGACCTCCGCCTCCGCACGGGAGGTGACCTCTGGGTCTGCCCGTGAGGTGACCTCTGGATCCGGCACTACCCGGGAGGTGACCTCCGGTACGACCACCACATCGAGTACCTCTCCCTCTGGTACCAGTACCTCGGGAACCAGTACCTCAGTCAGTACGCGCACCATCCGGTCCCGCTCAGCCTCAGAGCCGGCGCTGGTCACGGGTCGCGCGGCCGGCCCGTCCCCCGCCGGGACCGGGGGCCGCGTGGTGCCCATCAAGTCGCCGCTCTCGCCGCGTTTGTCGGGCCCGGCGGCCGCGGCCGTGAAGGCCGCGCGGCGCCGACACTCGAGCGGCTCCGACGACAGCGTCAGCTTCAGCCAGAACGGTGAGCAAAGTGGAATGCTGGACCCGTAACTAATTCACCGCTGAGTGTCTGTGAAGTGTGAACATTCATAATTGACTGGAACGCTCGACAAGACTGATCCTGAGCTGATATTCTGATGATCTGATCAAGACTGACCCTTTGCTCTAACGACTCTTTTCTGACTACTCACTGCTTGTGCTGCGTTCGCGGTGTTATTGTTTCTTCTAACTCTTTCTGGCTAGGGCTGGTTTGCTTCCAGCATAGACTTGCTAGCCCGGCACTGCGTTTTTGACAATGTCTCTCCCCGCTCTCTCGGCTCCCACAGATACGTGCTCGGACCAGAGCGATGTGGAGGGGCGCATATTCGCGCTGCAGGAGGAGCTCAAACGCAGGAAGGTCGAGGCCGAGCGTCTGCGCCGCGAGCAGAGGCGGAAACACCGCGAGAAGCTGCGACAGCAGGAGCAGTCGCTGCGCAAACAGCTCGAGGTGAGATGACATCGAGCGGGCGGAGACGGTCTTACCTCCTGGCGTTATCTGTATGGGCCGTTTGAGCTATAAATGGATACAGGGTTTGCTAGGTTGTTTGGCCCTGTTAAAGGGACCCTCCCACCTTCAAAAAAGTTAATGAATTGGCATGAAAGTGATGTCGCTCGGTTCAGAAAGAGCTGAAAACGAATATCTACCAAATTTCATCGAAAAATATTCACCGGTTTTCAAGATATTAGACTTTTACTTTTGTTCACTTTTTGGGATCTCCGCTGTTCCTAGCGACTTTATTTGAAAGTGCGGCATTTGTTGCGCGCAAAGCAGCATATACCACCGCGTGCTACAAAACGTTTTAGTCAAACATTTAACGGACGTTCGAAAGCCTGATGACGTCATCAGATTCCCGTAATGGTTAAGAGATAGGGACCACGCTGGTCCCACCCTGCAAGTAAAGGGAAGAAATTTCTTGAACACCATAAAGCTGCGGGGGTTGCGACCAGGATAAATGGTGGTTTCTGAGCCTGGCCGCAAACTTGGCTATCTCAACTCAAAACTAATGTTAATGTGGGAGGGTCCTTTTAACCAACTTTCATTGTGTGTTTATTTTTATATCTCTTTAGATTTTAGCCTTTGCACTGTCAGTATCGAGCATCCCTCACACACCATCCGTGACGTCCGTGCTCTCTCCGACAGGCGTATGACGCCAGCATCCGCCGGGCGGAGCTGGAGCTGGAGACCCAGCTGCTGGAGCAGGAGCGGCCCGTCCGACCGGTCATCAAACAGCCGCGCGTGGCGGAGCGGCGGGCCGGCCGGGCCTCCGCGGCGGCCCCGGCCCCGGGCTCAGCCGGCCGGCCGGGCCCAGCGGCGCCGGCCAGCGGCTCCTCTGATACGAGCGCCAGCGTGTCGCGCGACTCGAGCACGGAGACGATCGTGCACAGCCCGGCCAAGGCGGCGGCGGGCGCCGAGCCGGCCGAGGAGAGCGGCAGCGACGGCAGCGTGTCGGTCGCCACCGACGAGGGCACGAGCGGGACGAGTCGCGAGCGGCCGCGGACCGCCAGCCATGTCACAGCGCCCACCGAGGAGTTTGAGACGGAGAGTCCGACCAAAACCTCTGCCAGTGTCGCCACGGAGAGTGTGGAGACGGAGGAGGCCTCCAGCGGTACATCTGTCCGTACTGAGGGCGCAGAGACCGAGGGCCGGAGCTCGGCGACCTCGACAGTGCGGAGCGGCCAGGTCGATACTGAGAAGGCGAGCAAGACGTCTGTCAGCGCTTCAGTGCCGACAGCAGACGCGGAGACGGAGAGTCCCAGCAAGACGACCATCAGCACCGCCGCGCCGACCGCTCAGAGCGAGACGGAGAGTCCAACGCGGACCAGCGCCACGGCCGAGAGTCCGAGTGAGACGCGGACCAGCGCCACGGCCGAGAGTCCGAGCGAAACGCGGACCAGCTCCACGGTACGGACGGCGCAGGACGTGCCCACAGAGGCGGAGGACGTCAGCGAGCGCTCCCTGTCGCCGCTGAAGGCCGGAGGTGAAACCGCAGAGGAGAGCAGCTCGGATAAGTCTTCGTCGTCCTCTTCGTCGCCTTCTTCCAGTTCCTCGTCGTCTAGGAAGACGAGCTCGGCGGTGTCGGCGGTGGTGCCGACCGCGCGGGATGTCTCAACAGACGCGGTCACCACGGAGCAGCCGACCGCCGGGCAGGACAGCTCGGCGAGTGATGTCTCCGCGTTTGAACCGTCCAAAAAGGCCGACTCGGTCACCGCAGAACAGAGCGAGCGGGAAGCCGCTGTCAGTCGTGAGTTAGAGAAGGAGTCGAAAGCCGAACCCGAGTCGGAGTCAGAGTCGGACGGGACGTCGGTGTCAGAGGCACAGACCAAGTCAGTCAGTGAGTCCCACTCCGAGCCGCGGTCCGAACCCAAACCGGTGCTCGACAAAGCAGAGACCTCCGCCGCTGGATCCGCGGACCATAGCTCTTCGTCATCTACATCCGTCGCTACTGATCGTGGCGTAGAAATCGAGTCCGGTGCAGAAGAGAAGCCAGCGACGAGTGTACCCCCTACCGAAGACACAGGGCCGCTCGGTCGTCTGCCCGCTCTGGACCTTCGCCCGGCCGGGACGAAGGTCTCCACTGAGCAGCAGCTGCCGAGGAGCGATGAAGCCACCTCCAGCGAGGACGAGTCTTCGGCGCCGGCAGCGGACCGTTCGGCAGAGTCTGTACCGTCGGAGGCCGTGACTGAGCGAGCCGAGACAGAGGCGGCGTCGGAAGGAACCCTGTCCGGAGCGGACCGGTCCCTGAAGCCGTCCCTGGTGATAGAGACAGCGGTGGAGGTTGAGAAATCCCCCTCTGGGAGTGAGCGCGAACCTCCGCACGGTTCGGCTCCAAAGCCCGCGTCTGGTGATGAGGCCAAGTCGGCTGCTGAAGGGCGGGACGACAGTGACGCAGCCGCCACCGACACCTCGCTGTCGATCGCAGAGGAGGCGGCCGAGCCCAGTCTCACAGCTGAGGACAAACCGAAGGCGGTGTCCGCTCGGTCGCTGTCACCGCCCGCCGCCCAGCCGGCGCCGGAGCGGCCGGAGCCGGTCGGCCGCGCGCGTCTCTCGGACGAACAGCGCGAGCGTCTGGCCACCTCCATCACGGACCAGCTGCTGCGCTCGCTGTTGGACGAGTCGTTCCAGAGCCGCGGCTGGCGGCCTTCTCTGTCGCCCGCCAGGGTCGACAAGACATTCATTGTACTGGAAGAGTCCGCCGAGGGCGCCGTAGCGGCGGACCAGCCGGGAGAGCCTGCCACAGCCGCGGTGGGAGAGCAGGATGAAGCCAAGGCTGACGCGTTACTGGAGGAGATTATTGGTAAATCCCGCGCCCGACAGAAGGAAGAGGTGAAGCCTGAACAGGCCGAACCGGCGGAGAAGTCTGAGAAATCAGAACGAGAGGAAACCGAAGAGGACAAAACAAGTCCGGACACCTCCGAGTCCAAACGGACGCGCACGACGGAGACGTCATCCTCGTCAGAGACCAAGACGACGTCATCTGACCACGACACGTCCGGGGACTCCTCCATCACTGAGGACCTGTCCACGGCGTCCTCCGAGAGTCAGGAGGACGGCAGCACCTCCCGGGAGGACAGGAGCGGCGCCGGGGAGGACCAGAGCGCCGCCTCCGAGGGCCGCAACTCCGCACCAGAGGATAAAAGCATCGGCATCGAAAACAGAAGCGTCGCCGAGGATAAAAGCGTTGTCGAAGAAGAGCACAGTTCTGCCGGTGGGAAGGAAGACATTCCGGCGGACCGTCGCAGCCCGGTGAACGAGATGTCCCCGCGAGACGACGAGGACAATCCTGCGGCCGACGAGGACCACTCGTCTTCCTCCGGCGCCTCGGAGGAGCTGGTGGCCGTCACCGACTTCGCGCCGTGGCA